TAAATAGAGTTAATTAGTATTTGCGAAGTTTATACTTCTATATCTGTCTATGTGTTATGCTTATTATGACAGACACTCATGAAGACATGTTTCAATAAATAATCATAAGTTTAGATTTTCGATATGACAATCCTAATATCGGCAGGAAATCAACTAACATATATATATATATATATCTCAATTCTCAAACATACATGGGCTAGCTTTAATGTTCTAATATCATCATTGATTAGGTAGACCGACGAACAATTGGACTACCAGATTTTCTTATTTGTGCCAATCCGGTAACAACCTTATTGTTTTTTTTTTTTTTTATATACCCTATCGGCTGTCCGGTCGGCTCCGGTAGGAACGCACCGAGGTGCTACATAGTGGACTTGTCCACCGTGTTAACGGCTAGGCCCTTCGGGCTACCACTCTGCCTATCCCGAGTTTGGTGTGCCTTCCGACTAAGTGCCAGGGGGTAGTCATGCCTTATTGTATTGGGATATAAAACCTAGACTTATGCTAATTACATACAACTCATCATCATTCGTACCCGTCTCAACCATAAGATAAAGCGGGTACAAAGAAAGCATATATTTCCAAATTCTCTAGACAAATAGAAGAACACAAGACAAATAGATTAAAATTATAATGTAAACCATTTCGTTTTTTTTTTGGTTCTGTCTCTCTAGTTGTTGTAATTTTTGTCGATGGAGGCTAACATTCTTCAGTCATATGTTAAAATTATTAAAAATGTTAAGTCTAAATAATCTGAAAAAGTTCGCCATCGTAGTAGTTAGTAAAGTCTTTTATATTTCATGCCAAAAACAGGAGATTTAAGTGAAGGCCCAATGATATCTGTGCCCGATCCATATTGATATTCACTAGGGTTGGACAGTTAAACCCAACCAAAGCCTACTCGCTTTTCAATATCGATTTCACTTGTCACTTTTGAAAATATACACTAAACAAAAATGAAAATAGTTCAATTAAACAAATTAGAAAATAAACTAAGCCGAACAGAGTTCAAATCGTACTATCCCACACTTTTCCATGCGATTCAAGCCTATTTAAAAATAAACAGAAAAATCTCTGCAATTTGTCTAAATATTAAAGCATTACAAGTAATAGATATTTCGGCTGACTTTGGAGATCTGCATTGTTCAAGAACAATAATTTACGTGCATAAACTAGGATTATATCCTCTATTAGCGTTGTAATCTTTTCTCGTGGATATTAAAAGTTATACTCTATAGTTTTTAATTTATTATGCATGCTGGCTGGAATAGTTTAAGTAACAACTACTCCCTCCGTATTTTAATAATTGTCGTTTTAGAATTTTTATTTTTTTGAATTAGATGTCGTTTTCAAATTTCAATGCAAAATTTCTTACTTTTTAATGTTTTATGATGTCATAAAACATTAAAAAGTAATAAATTTTGCATAGAAATTTGAAAACGACATCCAATTCAAAAAAATAAATTTTCTAAAACGACAATTATTAAAATACGGAGGGAGTAATTATTTAAATTTAGTCAAATTAATACCATGTAGTTTAGAAATTCTGGCTTGTCCAATTAGATCTATAATCATTGTTTATTTTCTCATCTATTATTAATCCATTAGCTATATGGTACTCCAAGAATGTCCATTTAGAATATATTTTTAAATTCTGGTCTTGGCATTCTTGGTGGTTTTCTTTTCATTTTTACATTAAATATATCGAATACGATATAATTAAGGTTCAAGTGCTCATGGAGTCGTCTAGAAGAGAAGCAAAGATTTTATTAATCGGAGAGGCAAACTGCGGGGACCAACTTTGAATACCTTTAATTATCTTCGACCCAATAAAAATGGTTAACTAATTCAACCTGTTTTAACAAAAAAAAAAAAGTAAAAATTCTACTCAACTTAAATTTCTCAATTCATCTCTAATACAATCTACATGCATGTGCAAGTTTTCGTTTTTTTTTTTCTTACTTAAATCAGGGAATCATTATTTCATTTATTTTCAAATAACAATTGTATATTAGTTTGTATCTGCCAGATGAACCGATTGAGTTATAGAGATGATTGCGGAATGTTTCTGTTGTGAAAAATATAGAATTGGTTGATTGATTAGTATTCTTTCAATGTTTCGATGTATTATTTGTGATACCTACTTGGCACAACCCACCATATAACTTTCCTTTTAAAGAGACAAATACGACAGCTAACCCTTTTTTGGTCAAGACTAGAGTTAAAAATAGTACTTATAAGTTTTACGGACACCGTACGTATACTACTAACTAACTTCTCAGAATGGTTTTTGAATTAGTGTTAAGTTGTTCGGTGGCCATATATATATATATAACAATATAGAAGGTGAGGTGTATATATATAAGTTTTAGTATATCAAATATTTTAGAAACCAACCCACCCACCTAGTAGCCACCATAAAGAAACTTTCGAAAAAACCATAATTAGCTAAAAATTATTCCACATGCTATTGGATAAATATAAGATTATTGTTGACAGCATACTTATTTGGAATTCTTCTTCCCTATTTCTTTTATTAAAATTTAAATAAAGGATCTGAGAGAGAGGAAAGAGCCTTAGGTTGTATGAGTGAAAATAACTATAACACCTAATAAGGATTAATTATTATTATTTCAATTAATTGTCTTGATCTATCTTTTAAGTTACAGAGCAGTGGGGTCTTAATTGGAACAACTGTCCAAACCAAATGCCATTTCATTAGACTTATTTGTATTAAAATAAGATTATCCCATGACTTGATTCACCTGAAAATAGAATAATCTATACCTTTCTTTAATACCAGTTTTCTTTCTGTGGGTCTAAATGGTAACCGAGGAATCTAGCTGAATCCGGCTGAATTGCTGAATTTGGCTGAATTTTTAGTGATTTTTAGCTGAATCTAGCTGAATTTTTACATTTCCAAATGGTAACCGCTGAATCTAGCTGAATGTTTTTGTGATTTTTGGTAGAATCTATCAAAATAATAAAGACTTTAACTGAAAAATATCGTCAAATAATTATGAATATTAATAAAATAATTTAAAAAATATCAAAATAAAATAGATAAAATTATCTAATGATCTAATTAACTGTTATACTAATTAATTTAGTTATTCTTCCATATTTAATTTTTAAACTATGAAATATATAGATAATTAATGAAAAGCTTTGTAAAGCAATATTGATAATTTAATTTAAGAAATTAACATGGTAATTTAATATAGATTATCTAATTGTTTATTTTATGTTGTTTTTACAAAATTTTAAATTATCTAAAAATTATTAAAATTATCCAAAAATATCTATAGTTATCCGAATATGAATTCGTCTCTTGAATATTGTGGTAGTGATATATTATGTATCTGAATTATTTATATATCGTATGTGTATAATCTGACTTATTTTAAAAATATAAATTTGATGTGTAATTTTTGATATCCAAAATATTTTAATTCGACTTATGTGTTCGTTATTATCCAAATTTTTACCAGATATAAACGTATCTACGTATCTGTTGGTGCTGAAAAAACTGTTGAATCTGGCTGAATTCAGCTGAATTTAATTTTATGCAAATGGTGACTGCGGAATTGCTGAATCTAGCTGAATCCGGCTGAATGTTTTTCTTATGTTACCATTTAAGGCCTGTATTAAATATTGTCTTCTCATGCTTTATGAAGATTTGCCCAAGATCTTGTTTTGAAGATTAGACTTATGAATATATTTTTATTTGTTAAATAGTATAGATGCTTGCATCATTGCCCACTTCTTGTATTCCTTCATTTGGCAACTAACCTATTCTCCCTATTTAATTTAATAATTAGTTAACATTCATTAAACATGGTCAAGATAGGCTTTTTCTTTCTTTTCTCACAGTAAATAGACTAATAAGAATTGGTTTAGGTGGAAGACATTGAGATATATTACAAAAAAGCTTCAATTCGTGCTACATCATCAGATCTCCTTGTGAGCAACTTTAATTGATGGGAAAATTTTAAAACCTGCAATGAATATTAAACCCTTTAACAAAAAAAAACATGTAATGAATATTACATAAAAATACATCAATAAAAAGAATATCCAATTAGTTTTGTAGACTATTTAATTGTTTTTAGAGAACAAATGACGAACGATTCGTTTGCTTTCGTTCTTGTTGCAATATGCTCTTCAGTGGTTTTGGGTTTTGACACAAAAGGTCTTTTACTCGCTTAAATTTATGATGGATATGCGTTATTTAAGTATAATGAAATTTTAATACTATAATAATAGGGATCAAAATATTATCCTTCGCATTCCATGTTGATTATATTTTTGGGGCTAAATTAATTGATTAGCTTTATTTCTTCCTATCTTTCTTTGACTTTTGATATTATATCAATAATATGATATTAACATCTTAATCTTCTCTTTAAGCTTAGAATATAACTTTTGTATTAATTGTCACAAGTGGTGTGATCGCTGCATGCCTTTTCATATATATATTTTTATTCATCATATCTCAACTTAATCTAACTATTTTATTCACGCACTAAACAGAAAATTTCCACAATATTTAAATATGAAGATTATCAATTTTAAGCAAATGTATATATAATACATAAGACAAAAGATAAAACAAGTTGACAAGTTAAGTCTTTATATATAAGGTATAAAGAATTTCCATTTTATTATATATATATGTATTCGCGTGGTATCCACATATGTGTATTTTTTTTTCAGTGTTAGTGTAATATTTATTGTACCTATCAAGGTTTATTTACCAAGATCATTTCTCGTCACACCTTAGATTCAAACAAATAATTTTATTATAAACCCTAAAATATTATAACTCGATGCTGTTCATGAATAATATAAAAAACCCTCCCTACAATATAAAACTCCTATAGGCATACAATATATTATATTACAGATGCAATGCATCATTACTTACAAACTATTAAATTAAGCATCATCCGTCGCTCTCTTTGCTATATAAAGAAGATCATTTACACATCTCCATAAGCTAATTAAACCCATCGACAAACACACATATATGTCTACATCTCCGACAATGTCTCGTACAGGCGAAAGTTCATCAGGCTCATCCTCCGACAAGACGATAAAGCTATTCGGCTTCGACCTCAATAGCGGCAATCGCTCGCCGGAAATCACGACGGCGGAAAGCGTGAGCTCGTCCACAAACACGACGTCGTTAACATTGATGAAAAGACTTGAGTGCCAATACTGTGGCAAAGAGTTCGCAAATTCTCAAGCCTTAGGAGGTCACCAAAACGCCCACAAGAAAGAGAGGTTGAAGAAGAAGAGGCTTCAGCTTCAAGCTAGACGAGCCAGCATCGGCTATTATCTCACCAGCCACCAACAACCCATAACGACGTCATTTCAGAGACAATACAATACGCCGTCATATTGTGCCTTCTCATCTATGCACGTGAATAATAATCAGATGGGTGTGTACAACGAGGAGTGGTCGTCGAGGTCGTCGCAGATTAGCTTCGGTAATAAGGACACGTGCCAAGATCTTAATGAACAAAGTGGTGAGATGGGTAAGCTGTACGGTGTACGACCGAACATGATTCAGTTCCAGAGAGATCTGACTTCTCGTTCTGATCAGATGAGAAGTATTAAGTCGCTGGATCTTCATCTAGGTTTTGCCGGAGATACGGCATAACAAAGCGAGAGATATATGATTAAGATTATATGTACTAATGGTGTATTTTATTGGGATCAGGAAGGAAAAAAAAAACGAGACATAGTATTCTTGATGCAATTTGAGTTTTATTTATTTAGGTTTATGTATGTATTTGAAATGAATTCATTCCAAATGATGTTGTGGTCTTGTGGAATTATTCAAAACAGAACAAAAAAACTCTAGTAGATTTTATCCGGAAAATTCTCGATCATCATCCGATAAAAAAATAAAGTCAGGTAGCAGTATATATAAAATCATATTATAATGAACTAACAATAAACCATAGTATTGAAAGAAAATCATTTTCTTGTTCCTTATAGTTTGTTAACCGTAGTCCGATCCGTACGTATACTAAGGGATATATATAAGGTTTCCATATTTTTATCATTAGTTATTGTGAGCTGTGTTTTTTGGTTTTGTTTTAAAACTGTACCGCCTTATGTTGTTATAAATGGTGCATTGCTTAATTGATGGAGGAGGAAACATTTTGAAACAGAATCACTTTCTTGTTGCTTATTCTATTCGGAAGCCATGCGTACGTTCTTCTTTATTGGTACATATTGTATTTATTACAACGTATTACAACACATATTTCCAGTCCGTATACATGTATATATATATATATATATATATATATATATATATATATATATATCCATTACAAGTTGTGCATACATGTGCTTATACGTGCATTTATTCGTACACGCGTACGCCTCAATTTGATTTATAGTCAAATTTCAAATATTTTGTTAGAAAGTTCATCTCAAAAGTTTTTAAAAAGGTTCGACATTAATGTTTTTAGAAACCTATATATAAATCGTTGTAGGTACAGCGAAATGTTTTATTTTTTGTAAATATACACTCGAGATACGATTTTATGCATGTCATGGTTATTACAAGAATTTAAACTGATGCCTATTAGTTTTTTACCCCAAACTGATTAATCTACAAGAACATATATATAACACAAACCCAAGTCGTGTACTTTTGATTATTTGATTGGATTTTTCATTTTTGGATACAATAAGACAGAAGAAGTTGTGAATTCTGAATACTCCTAAAACGAACAGAATAAGTGAATTATAGTGGTGAAATTGCTTGACTTAGATTTTATTCTTTTCAAATAGATTTGGTGTAAGATTGATTCGAAATTTCCCATTAAGTCTCTAAACAAATATGTGCATCAATTCATAATTAATTGTACAACTTTAGATATACATATAATAAATGCAGTCGGCAGATTTGTTTATTTAAATAATTGGCGTGATTAGAATGATAAGCTTAAGATCCAACATCCAATGTTGGAGGCCCCTTTAATTTTGTCTACACATGTCACTTCCGACACCAACGGAACTCCATTTTGCTTATGTGTGTATTTTAGATGCTTATCCCATTTCATTAATACTAGTATATAATTTTATTTTATTTTATTTAAAAAGGTTTTCCTTTATTGTACAGTTCGGTTGTTTCCTAGTTTTAGTAATATTTTGTTTGTTAACTTTCAAAAATAGGTCCTTGCATAGAAACTCCGATCAAGATGTTCATGTGGCGTGGTGCGTTTGTGATTGGCATTGACGGGAGAAGTGAAGGGCTATGTGGACTATAATGATCCACGAGTTATAATTTTGATTGAGCGCTATAAAATTGAGGAAACTGTTACGCATTGTGTTCTAGCGTGCAACATTTTTTTTTTTTTGGCCTATTTCCGGATTGGGCTTTGTTCAACATATTTACCACTCGTCTAGATATATATAACTTCGACAAACCGATCTAATTTTCGCTAATTTTAAAAAATTTAAAGTGGCCACCTAATAAAAGTTTTGGTGTGTTTATTAATTATCACACATGCAACATGTTATCATGCATATGAATGTAATCATCATAATGGAGGATATCAACTAATTGAAACAATAAAACACTAATTATCAATTTTGAAATGATTATTTTTTTGTTTAATGAAGGGATAATGTAATCTAATGTTGTGGGAGACAAAGATAGATCCAAGCCAGGTAAGGTTAGCTTGTTGATCTAAATTGATTAAAGCATTTGTTGAACAAGACTTCGCCATCTGTACCACCACCCATCTTTCTCTCAATTATGGATTATAATTTAGTAAATGTCATATATATGCGTCCATTATAACTTTTATTATTGGCATTATTGCTTTTTTAAAAGCAAGTTTATTTATCAAAAACTATTGATTGGTCATTGTTAAGCGTTACATTTGACCGTCAATTATATATATCTTAATTATTATATCAGGTGTAATTGTTTGAAAGACTCCTTGAGTGTATACTTTACTAAGTTATTAGTATGTATACTATAAAATGACATTTTCTACGTAAAAAAAGGACAAGATATATTTATCGATTACTTTAATAGTTTGAATGATTCTCGATCTAATAATTAAAACATAGGCGTTAGATGTAAGTTTTTGAAATTAAAATTGATTTAAATGAATCAGTTGATCTAGAAAATAATTTTGGTAGAGCACCGATCAGAGAGATCTTTCTTCCAGAAACTGTGATTATAAGACGTGTACTAAGAGACAAGTCAAAATATATTTCCTTAATTTAATGCATAGTTGGATGCATCATTATTTGGTAAATAGTAGTAAATATTCGATTCACGTCGTGTGTGCAGGCATCAATTTCTTTAAGAAATACTATTCTTTTATCACTTCGAGTAACTTATGATATTTTAGGATATAAATCATAATCCGCCGTTGATCTTTTGTTGTTGAGTTTTTTTGGTTTTATTTAACCGCTCAAAATTAATGGAGAAACCTGCATTATAACCACAAACCGGAAAAATGTGAAAAAGGAACAAACCGGTCGGTTATCGATTTCTAGGGTTTTAAGGTTTTGACTGACGGTTGACTTAGGGCGCGCTTCTCTGCTTTGGTACACACACACATCAAGCTGCTCTTTGCCTCTCTGGTCGCTTCACTCACCATCCTCAGGTTCGTTCTTCCGACGAAAGATTTAATTTTGCAGTTAGGAATTGTAATCTCTGCGTGTAAGTACAGGAATCGAAGCCGGTTCTGTGTTTCTTTTGCTTGATTTTTCTCCGTTTCTTCTAAAATTTGAGACTTTTGCTTCATTGATTACACTAGAAAGCTTGAAACTTTATTCGAATTGAGATGTTCCATTAGATATTTTCAAACAAGGTCCTGCCTTTTTATTCTACAATAAACTAAAACGTGTTTGATTGAAATTTTGATTTGTGCTTTAGGAAAAAACAAAAAACTGGTGTGAGAATGAGGAAGAAGGTAGACGAACGTATCAGGACTCTGATTGAAAACGGTGTTAAACTCCGACACCGTTCCATGTTTGTCATCATTGGTGACAAGGCCCGTGACCAGGTATGATTCTTGCGGTTATAGAGAATTTCTACTTTGCATTTTCCTCGGATATCAAGTCTAATGCGTTTCTGATTCGTTATGTAATAGATAGTTAATCTTCATCACATTTTGTCAAAATCGGTGGTCAAGTCTAACACAAGTGTGCTATGGTGCTACAAGAATAGACTCGACATTAGCAGGTTCGATTTATCAACCTTGTGATTCATATATAAGATATTTGCAAAAGTTGAAGCATTGACATTTTGTTATTAGAAGCTTAATTGAAGCCTAGTTTATAGTTGACACATGCTTATGTGTGAGTTTCTTTTGGATTTTCCATGTTGAGAGAATGATGGAACCTGATTGTGAGCTATGCTACACATATTGTGGAATTCTATTTGTCGATAACTTGGTCCTGAAAATTAAAGAGTGTGTGGAATTGGTTTTGTGTGCAGTCACAATAAAAAACGTGCGAAGCAGTTGAAGAAGATGAAGGAGAGAGGACAATTAGATCCTGAAAAACTTGACGCTTTCTCTCTTTTTCTTGATGTGGGGGATGTCACGCATTGCTTGTACAAAGATTCTGAAAGAATTCTTGGGAATACTTTTGGCATGTGCATCTTACAGGTACTCTTGATTTATGAATGAAGAAACATTTTTTTGCTGCAGCTTACTCATATTTGCATCTTCTTCCACGTTTAATTTTTATTCTTAATTATTCAGGATTTTGAAGCTCTAACTCCAAATCTACTAGCAAGAACAATAGAGACAGTTGAAGGGGGTGGGCTAGTTGTATTATTATTACAATCACTTGCTTCACTTACTAGTCTCTGCACCATGGTTATGGTATGAACACTGATTTTGGTAGTTATGTTGTTTGCATAACTACTTACTTGGAGTAACATGATTGGTTCTGTTCGTATCAGGATGTGCATGATAGATTTCGAACTGAGTCACACTCTGAAGCTTCCGGACGTTTCAATGAACGATTTCTGTTATCTCTAGCGTCTTGCAAAGCATGTGTTGTCATGGATGATGAGCTGAATATATTGCCGCTTTCGTCTCATATCAGATCTATCACAAAAGTTCCAACAAAGGAGGTAATTTCTTTAGCAGATTCACACTTCTGTTCCATGGGTTGTTGAAAAATTGTCTTCCATTATACCAGTTAACATCTTTAACTTTTCTCTTTCATGTGTTTGTAATAAAAGGATTCAGAAGGGCTTTCTGAGGCAGAACGAGACCTGAAGAGTTTGAAAGATGCACTAAACGATGATTTTCCTGTTGGTCCTTTGATTAATAAGTGTTGTACATTGGATCAGGTATGTGGTTTAGTCACTGTGTACACTGGGTTAAGAAGTGTTGCACATTTGATCAGGTTTGAATTTTGTCTTTTGTAGGGTAAAGCTGTTGTCACATTTTTTGATGCAATATTGGATAAGACCCTCCGCAGCATAGTTGCTCTGATTGCTAGTCGTGGGCGTGGAAAATCTGCTGCACTTGGTCTAGCTGTTGCTGGGGCTGTTGCTGCTGGGTAGGCTTGAGTTATTGTACTCTTTTATTCATGTATGTTTCAATAATATCTGTTATCTTATTAATACTATATGTTATTTGCTGTTAGGTACTCTAATATTTACGTAACAGCACCAAGCCCAGATAACTTGAAAACATTCTTTGAGTTTGTTTGCAAAGGTTTCGAAGCACTTGAATATAAGGTAATATGACCTTCTTCTGTATCACACATATGAGGCATTTTTTTAGAAACTTTTCATGTTGAGCTTCTTCCATTTTGTTACCTGTTTGTTGGGTAGTCATAGGTTTGAATTCTGCACTATCTCATGGAAGAAGAAAGATGTTACTTTGTATTGCATGTTAATTCGGGATATCCATATAATTTCCTGAACTTTATCTTCAACTATATATTTTGTAGGAACATCTTGAATATGATGTCGTGAGAAGTGTGAATCCTGACTTTAATAAAGCCATCGTACGAATAAATATCTTCAAGCAGCACAGGCAAACTATCCAGGTCTGTCCAATCCTGGATTTCTACAATAAGCCGTAGTTTGTGTATACAACCGCCTAAGTTGTTTCATTTTCTTGTTTATTCATGCAGTATATACAACCGCATGAACATGAAAAGCTCTCACAAGTTGAGCTGTTGGTTATTGATGAAGCGGCAGCTATTCCTTTGCCAGTTGTGAAGTCTCTACTTGGCCCTTACCTAGTTTTCTTATCATCTACTGTCAGTGGGTATGTGGAACAGGAGTAAAATGCTTGTATTCACATAGTATTGAAAATTTTATGCTTGGCTTGATTATAATTTGGGTCAGTTAGGCTGCTGATTTTTGGTTGTTTTGCCTTTTGCCAAAGCTATGAAGGTACTGGTAGATCTTTGTCTCTGAAACTCCTCCAACAGTTAGAAGAGCAAAGCCGAGCCCCTGTCACTGGTGTTGAAGGCTCTCTTTCTGGTATTTAACTGCTACATCTTGCTTTCACTTTTGGCATGTGGAGATCAGGAGATTTTTTGTAGAGATTTCAATATTATCATTAAGAACATAGAAGTTCATCTTTTTAAAAGTATCGCTCTTAAGAGCTAGCATTTTCATATTAATAGATATATATGTTTGTTTAAGTAAACCATTACTCTAATGCCTAGGTTTAAGGAATATTTGTGAATAATTTTTTCCAAGAACGTAGGTTTTGTTGTTAAGTTTGGCCTTAAGGGCCTCCGAAGGTTATTGAAACTTCATGCAGAGTAGTCCTCTATTGTGATTTTAGATTACTGCGTCTGATGGTTGTTCTTATTCATTAGAGCTAATTTTTCTTCCACGCAGGGCCTACTACTTTCATATCTCAGTATGTAGTTTTAGATATCATTTTTTTTCCTTCGCCTTCTAGTTGATGTGAATCGTTATGTTGTGGAACTCCCTGACTGTCTGATGTTTCTTTGGATTCAGGTTGCCTTTTCAATAAGATAGAACTTAATGAGTCTATTAGATACGCTTCTGGAGATCCAATTGAATCCTGGCTTAATGGATTACTATGCCTTGATGTTGCTAATTGTCTTCCAAATCCTGCTTGGTATGGTAATTTCACTCAATATAGATAGAATGTTGCCATACTTTCTTGCCAACTAGTGATCTAGAAACTATAATTTTTTCTTGTATTTGTAGCCATCCTCTGCCAAGTCAGTGTGATCTTTATTATGTCAACCGAGACACCTTATTTTCTTATCACAAAGACAGTGAGTTGTTTTTACAGGTAATAGTTGATTTTACAATCTACGTACTTTTTGCTCCATATATTTTGTTATTAAGGTATTAAGTTGCATTCTACAGCGAATGATGGCACTTTGTGTCTCTTCTCACTACAAGAATTCTCCTAATGATCTTCAACTTCTGTCGGATGCTCCTGCTCACCATTTGTTTGTGTTGCTCGGTATGCAATGGTTTCATAGCTAGAGATAATCATCAGATTTAGAGTATTGCCTTAATTTCTATTTGGCACAGGTCCTGTTGATGAGTCCAAAAACCAGCTTCCTGATATACTGTGTGTTATCCAGGTATCGATTTCTTACTTTTTCTGCTCTTTGAAATTGTTTGTTTGGTGAAAAACAGTTAGTTGGACTAACAAAGAATAAAACCAGAAGCTATCAGTCTGTTTGTTTGCAGCATTTTTTTTTTGTTGTAAAACTATAAATCACATGTCTTGGCGTTCTTATGTGATTGATTTTGGATGTAACTGGTCTCAAGTACCCTTGAAATTGATATTTTTGCAGGTCTGTCTCGAAGGACAGATATCTCGGAAATCAGCTGAAAAAAGTTTACGAGAAGGTCATTCACCACATGGAGATCAAATACCATGGAAGTTCTGTGAACAGTTCCGGGACGTTGTCTTTCCAAAGCTTTCTGGTGCTCGTATAGTACGCATAGCAGTCCACCCCAATGCTATGAAGGTAAATTCTCTTAGTCTGCTCATTTTTTAAAAGTCTTTTAGGTTCCATGAGAGATTAAAAAATTCTTAATTACATTCTATGTAGATGGGATATGGGTCTGCTGCGGTTGAACTTTTGACCAGGTAAATGCATGATTACGACTTAATGATTAATACATGCAGATATATAATTGATTGATATGTGCAGATATTTAATTGATTGATACGTGCAGATACTTTGAGGGTCAGCTAGCTTCAATATCAGAAGGTGATGATGAACTGGATGTGGAGCCTTCGCCAGTCAGAGTTACTGAGGCTGCCGAAAAGGTTCTTGATTATTTTAATCTATCCTTGTGATGTTTTGCATTATGCATTCTAGTTCCTACTTGATTTTTTTTCCCTTAGGTTTCCTTGCTTGAGGAACAGATAAAGCCTCGTGCCAATCTTCCACCTTTGCTGGTTCCTCTTCGTGATCGGCGACCTGAGAGACTCCACTACCTCGGTGTCTCTTTTGGGCTTACTTTGGACCTCTTCCGTTTCTGGAGAAAACATAAATTTGCTCCATTCTACATCAGTCAAATACCAGTTGAGAATCTTTCTTTCCCCCTTTTCCTGTATTACTTATTCTTGTATTGTCTAGTAGTTCATAACACTGTTTCTATATATGGTTGGATCAGAGTGCTGTGACTGGTGAGCACACATGTATGCTTCTGAAACCATTAACATTAAGCAACGATGAATTCGAAGTTGATGAGTCAGATGAACTGGGCTTCTTTGCTCCCTTCTATAAAGGTTTGTTGATTTTTTAAACAAAAATCAAATGTTTCTTTAGCTTCTAACTTTGACGTTTTTTTATTATAATGTTTTTGCCAATTCTTCTACTCTGTTCAGATTTCAGGATAAGGTTCTCTAAGCTGTTGAGTGATAAATTCAAGAAGATGGATTATAAACTTGCAATGAGGTTAGCACTAATCATGTTCTTTCCCCATGAAACTTTGAACTTTTCCTCATTACTATTCTAGGATGATTATACTTTTCTTGATGCGGTTTTATCGTGTTGATAATATTCTCGTTTCACAATTTTGTCTAGTGTCTTGAACCCTAAGATCAACTTCCCAGAGGTTGATTCTTCGGGGAATTCACCTGATGGATTTTTGAAGAAACTCGACGGAGTCCTTTCACCTTATGATATGGAGAGACTCAGAGCATACACTGCCAATCTCGTTGACTTCAACCTGGTTAGATTCACTTTCTGAGAGTCACTTATTTTAGGATAATATGTATGAACTACATTTATGACTCAGTCTGCTTAAGCATATAGTCAGATATGTAATCTGCTTAAATAACTAAACAATCATAAGATTCTGGTAACAGACTCAGACAAATACTAACCGCAGGTTCAAGCTTGATACTGTCTTTTCGTTTGGTTTGGTAACTATTTTTATTTTGTTATCTTTTCAAAGGTTTATGACATCTGCAAAACTCTAGCTCATCATTATTTTCAAGAGAAGCTCCCTGTCTCGCTTTCATATGTTCAAGCATCTGTACTCCTGTGTTTGGGCTTGCAGGAGTCGGATTTCTCGAGCATTGAGGTATAACATATCTACTCTTTAAAAGAATTTGCTGATCTGGGCCCGCTGAATTATGTTTCACCACACATGTGGAGATAACTTCTTGACACATCTGGATGTTCTAAATTGGATCATTTCGTTGACTTACAGAGACAAATGCAGTTGGAGAGGGGGCAAATACACTCTCTTCTATTAAAGGTTGGAAAGAAGTTATACAAATATTTGAATGGAATTGCAACAAAAGAGCTTGAATCCACCTTACCTCGGTTGAAAGATGTAAGTTCAGATGGGAAAACTTACAAAACATTTCCATGTTCTTTTGCTCAGTCATAATATGCCCTCATTTTTGATAATTAACAACCCTAAGCCCTAAATACATACACAAATATCGAGCTGACTGAAATGATTCATGGTGGCTTTTGGTTGCAGAGAGTGCTTGAACCTCACAAAGTATCAGTAGACGAAGATCTCAGGGAAGGAGCAAAAGAAGTTGAGGTAATTGCTTCTGTTTCCGTGCATGCATATATTTTGTTTTGGTTTCCATGTAAAATCGAAACATCGCTCACGCTCTCAATGTTTGGGTTTAAAGGAACAAATGAGGGCAAGGATAGAAGAATTGTTGGACCCTGAGCTGCTTGAACAATTTGCTATTGGGGACAAAGAAGCTGAGGCTTTGCAAAAGTCTAAGATCTCTTCAAGTGGTCTTATCAGTATTGAGTCCACCAAAACTGATAACAAGAAAGAGAAGCCAACAAGTGGTTTTGATAAATCCACCAAAAAGAGAGGCGATGATAAGCATTCCTCCAGATCCAACAAGAAGAGAAGAGCCTGATGTGGAGTTCATGTCAACAATTGTTTTTTTGTAACAGTGACCAGAAAATTTTGATCATTGGTCTTTTTATGAATTTTTGTAACCAGGTTGAATAATTTATTAAAATTTTGGTTTGTTCATCACAAGTGAAAGAAAAAAAACTTACAGATTCTGTTTGGGCATTCTACAACCATAATACAATGTTTTCTATTAACTATAACTATATTATTTATTAACTGCAATATGTCAAACTGGCTCACATCTCGGCAGCAAAAGACTTCCCACATCCACAGGTTTGTGTAGCGTTAGGGTTGGAGAAAGAGAAGCCTCCACCAATTAAAGCATCACTGTAATCAAGCTGCATTCCGAAAAGAAAGAGCATGCTCTTTGGATCACAAACTGCAAAAGAAATGAGTACAAATTAAAAATCCGAGCTTTCAATCTACAGATGTATAACTAGGACTTGATTGCAAACAACATGAGACTAGAAGTCTCAGTTCAAGAATCGGCAACTAAGTAATTATATAATTCAAGCTGCAGATCAAAAAGAATCAACTGACCATCTACTTGACAACACGAGTCTAAAACTTAAGCCAAGAACTTTATCTTAAGAATGCAATATAAATCGAACAACCTCATCGCTTTCTATTTGGATGCATTCAAAACAGAGAAATTGACATTCATATTGTAAGTATGGCGAGTCTACATCATCAAGCAACTTAGCTGATCTTACTCTCAGACCTTATAATATCATACTGGAAGAATTGATCATGCATAGTTATGGAATAGTTACCTATAGTGAATCCTTCATATTCGATAGTGGAATCATCTGGTCTAGCGTTTGATCTGTTCTCAAAGTCCATCGTGTAAGACATCCCAGAGCATCCTCCTTGTTTGACACCAATTCTCAAGCACAAATCTTCCCCACGTTCTGATCTCATCTTACTCAGATGCTTAAGTGCATTCTCTGACAGAGATATCGCCGGCTTCAGTCCCTCCATTGCAGGTGCAGCTGAGAAATTCAAGAGCAACCAAAGTTATCAATTTCAAAAGAAAGTTTCTGATTTTAAAACCAGAATGGCAATAACAACAACCCAGAAAAATAAAGCAGAGCAATTTCGTGAATGAATTCGAACCTGGAACTGAAGTAGCTCGAACAGAGAGGCGGTTGCGCCGATTGAGATTGAGATTGAGATTCACATATGACAAAGAAGGAAACGAAATCGAATTACATGGAACCACAGAAGGTAAACTTGTGTTAGAGATCCTTAGCCGAAGAAAAGTTGGATTTGAAGTTGTGATTCCAGCGAAAGACATCATCTTCGGAGAATTGAATCGCCAAGCTGAGGAATCTCTCAAATGCGTGTAGTAGAAGAAGACCAAGAAAAAACAAATCTTTTCGCACAACAAGTTTTAAGTCCACATGTTTTTTGTTTTCAGGTAGGTGATTGATTATATTTTTGTTATGAACCCTAATAAAGTCGTTCTCTTTCGAATCTATCGGGTCATAAATTTAAACCCGATATCGACCCGCTGGATAGTTGGGTCACACCCGAACCTAAAGGAACACACACACATAGCGCGAAGGAAACAAACTTCATCTTCATCATCGTCTCTTCTCTTCTCTTCTCTTCTTCTCCAATTTGACGCTTTAGTCTCTTCCACTTTCTTCATTCTTCAGTGGTTGGTTTACACACAGCGAGAATTTCACGTGTCTATGCAGAATTAAGCAGCTCTTTAATGGCGTCTTCTTCCACCAGCTCCCTCAATCTCCACTCTCTCCCCAAGGTAATTCTTCTGTTATTCCGTTGGCTTTTTTTGTCAATTCTCTTGTCTTCTAATTCCGTTTTTCATTGAAATTTGAAGGCTTCTTCTGGGTTGAGCCAATGGAGGAGTGGGTTCCGGTACGAATTGTTGGGTAGCTCCGTTTCTAGGAACCGATTGGTTGTTTCTCCGGTGGTGATTCTTCACCGAAGTCCGAGACTTCCTGCGATCAAAGCGGCGTATAACTCAGATGGAGGCTCGAAGCGTAGTAGGGTTTATAAGGAGTCACAAGCGGCTAGTGGTTTCCCTAATGCTAAACTGCAGCAGATTGCGTCTTCAGTCTTGCCCTTAGGCTCATTTGCTGTCGTCACTTTCGGTACGAGCATTGCTACACTTCTCTAAACTTGGAATTACTGTGTATTCTTCTTTCATGTGTAAGTAATTGAGAGGAAATTAGTTTGCTTGGTATGTAAATTCGGTGATCTCTGTCAATACGAGAGATATTAATGATAAAAGTTTCGTCTTTTCTCTCAAATCGTCTATACTAATTTGTGTATTCAGCTGACAGTTTTGTGGAAAGTGGTTGAGAAGTTCATGTCGCCAAAGTCTCCAAAGACTTCTGCTGGAGAAAGCAAATCGCCTACACAGGGAGTGAAATGGTCGATTGGGGCCGGTACAAATTTGTTACAAGGATTTGCTGCTAAGGTTGATAGAGAGGCCAAACAGAGGCTTAATGAATTTGCAAAAGAACTCAGGTCGTTCAGAAGTGTTGACATGTCAGGTGCATTGAATTATTTAACTGTTATGACATTACTTATTGATGATTCACATTAGAATTAAATGTGATTTTGTCTTAATATACACAAATATAGCTCACCTGTGTATATTATTTTGCAGGATGCAACTTTGGAGATGAAGGATTATTCTTTCTAGCGGAAAGCCTTGGGTATAATCAGGTTATAGTTCTCTCTTGCTTTCACATCTGCTATCTACCAACTCATTAGAGTCCTGATATTCTTATGTTGATTAGCCATACCCATGTTTGTGTTTCAGACTGTAGAGGAAGTCAGTTTTTCTGCAAATGGAATTACAGCTGCAGGAGTTAAAGCCTTCGACGGTGTTCTTCAATCAAATATTATGTTGAAAGTTCTTAATCTCTCTGGAAACCCTATCGGTGATGAAGGAGCTAAGGTTAGTGGGAATATGATATACTAGTTTTAAATTTAATTTCTGGGTGTCTTATGGTAGAAACTTCATCAGTTTATCAAGTGAGGAGAACATATCGGTTTCTGCCGATATATTTTTCTCTAAAATCACATGGAGCTTATTCTCTATGTGTACGTTTCTTGCTGAGAATGGTTCCCCTTCTTTTTTTCTTGTAACGGCAGACTTTATGCGCTACACTGATGGAAAATTCTAGCATCGAGATACTTCAGCTGAACAGTACTGATATAGGAGATGAGGTTTGTTTGAGCAGATGCTTTGATTTACAAGCTTTTCAAGCTCCTAAGTTAGTCACAATCCTTTCAATTGTTTCCGTGCTTTAAGTAGTTCCAATGTTCTTGCGCAGGGTGCAAAGGAAATTGCAGAGTTGTTGAAGAGAAATTCAACCTTGAGGATTATTGAGCTGAATAATAACATGATTGACTATTCTGTAAGTTCTTTCTGTTCATGTGTTTTACCGTTATATTTTAGAATTAATCACCCAGGTTTATGAATTGAATCTGTTGCGTCTTCTTCCCTTCTTCTTTTTTGAAATGGAGGTAGGGATTCACAAGTCTTGCTGGAGCTCTTCTTGAGAATAATACAATACGCAATTTACATCTCAAGTGAGTTTAGGATTATAGACGGATATTTCTTTTGGGCTTACTTTTTTCATTTTGTCTGTATAGTTGGATTATACATACTGATTTATGGATAATTTGTTTCAGTGGAAATTACTTCATTTTGTCTGTATAGTTGGATTATACATACTGATTTATGGATAATTTGTTTCAGTGGAAATTACGGTGGTGCTTTGGGTGCCAATGCTTTAGCTAAAGGGCTTGAGGGTAACAAGTCTTTACGGGTAAAAACTTTCCTCATGTCTCTTTCTATGTATATCGTATACCATTTCTATATTAAGAGAAACATTTAATAGTTAGATGTGTTATCTTATATGATGCATTAAAGGTGATATCTGATGTCATCAAAGACAGCCAATGAATAAATGTCATCAACAGTTGATCTGTTTTCTTGGCCTTTATACCCGCAGGAACTTCATTTGCATGGGAACTCTATTGGAGACGAAGGAACTCGTGCTTTGATGGCTGGTCTATCTTCCCACAAAGGTTTTTCTAGAACACTCTTCAGACGTCTATATTAACTCTTCCTTACCTCTACTGTAGAATTATACTGAGATGCATTTTTGTGTGCAGGGAAACTGGCTTTGCTAGATCTCGGAAACAACTCCATCTCCGCAAAGGGTGCCTTCTATGTAGCAGAATACATCAAGAGAAGCAAGAGCTTGGTTTGGCTGAACCTGTACATGAATGATATAGGTGATGAGGTACATATACATACATCCAATTTATTACAATGGAGGTGGATTGTGTCTGTTGCTTCTCTAATATCGGAAAACCTTGTCTCTTTTTGCTCTGTTGTCTATCTTAACGATTTTCAATGGTTTCAGGGAGCTGAAAAGATTGCAGATGCTCTGAAGCAAAACCGTTCAATTGCAACCATTGACCTGGTGAGAAGTGACCATCTTCTCCAGTCTCCCTAAGTTTTCCTTGCGTCCATATCGAGCTATTTGTTCTGCTAACACGTTTTTGTAAAACAGGGTGGAAATAACATCCATGCGGAGGGAGTTAATGCTATAGCTCAAGCTCTGAAAGATAATGCAATTATTACGACGGTCAGTGCCAAAACTCTTTCTCATCTTTGTTTACTTGTTTACTTATAACTAGGATGATGATGACACTGCCACTCTCAATATTTCCTCAGTTAGAGGTTGGTTATAATCCCATAGGACCAGATGGAGCTAAAGCATTATCTGAAATTCTCAAGTTCCATGGAAATGTAAAGACGCTCAAACTTGGTTGGTGCCAGGTAAAGCCTGTCCATAACTCTTTACCCATAAACTAAAATATTTTTCACAATTGCTTATTTCGTATTATCATTGTTTGATTTTCGATCCTATGTCCTGCAGATAGCTGCTAAGGGTGCTGAACATGTTGCAGACATGTTGAGATATAACAACACAATCTCGGTTTTGGACTTGCGGGCAAATGGACTTAGAGATGAGGTTTCTGCAGGCAGATTTTATCAGTATTCAGCTTGTTTTATATATTTATTTACGATATTTCTACCAAATATGCTTTTTCACAAATGTAAATGATTGTTATTTTCAGGGAGCTTCCTGCTTAGCTCGGAGCTTGAAAGTAGTTAATGAAGCTCTGACATCTGTGGATCTAGGATTCAATGAAATACGGGTAAAAAAAAGCTACTTCGTTTATTAATACGCTGTGTCTTCTTTTAAGACTTGTAAGCAGCTCAATCTTATTATTCTGCCTCATTTGCAGGATGATGGGGCATTCGCCATTGCTCAAGCATTAAAGGCCAATGAAGATGTCACAGTTACATCGATAAACCTTGGGAACAACTTCATCACCAAGTTTGGACAGGTAAGAAACATATGGTGCAATGGATCATCAAATCTCTTAACAGATTCTGGTTACTGAGAATTTTCCCTTTTGTTTTTATCCAGAGTGCGCTCACGGATGCTAGAGATCATGTTCTTGAGATGACTGAAAAAGAAGTAGAAATTTTCTTCTAGGAGAGACATTGAAGTGAAGAAGACTTGTCACTCTGTAATTTTGCACCTTTAGTTGTTGTCTCATTCTTTACGACGTGGTGAAATGCTTCATGGGAGAGATAAAAAAGTTGTTTCTTTTTTTTTGTCTTTGCTTACGGTGAGATTTAATTTTAATTCAAAGGAAGTTTCATAAAGTCCGATCATGCAAAATGGTGTTGACTAAACAAAAGAGAGGCATAAGATTTATGAAGACATTAAGTCAAAGTTGGTCGTTGAAAATGAGGAAAAATTAAATTCGGTTTAGAACAGGTTTTTTCGGTTTGGTTCCGATCCGGTTCGTTGAAACGAGCGTAACTGGGATACTCCTGCTTTGAAAGACAAAGTTTGGTGGACAAAATCAAGTGAGTTACGAGTAAAGCGAGAAAAATGGCGGCAAAGCGAGGGAGAAACCGGTCGCCGTCTCCGGACCCGGAAGGGATGTTCGCCGGAATGGTAGTTTTTATGGTTGAAATCGGAGTCCAGCGTCGTCGATTTCAGGTTTTACTCGGAAAAATTGCTCAGTGTTAATACTTCATCATCTTCGACAAATTTCCTTAACATCCTTTTAATTGTTGCATGCTATGTCTGATTTTCTCTCTTTGAATGAAGATTTGGAAGCAGAAGCTGGTTCAAATGGGTGCAGTGATCGAAGAAGATCGGGTAACGAAGAAAGTCACTCATGTTCTTGCCATGAATCTCGAAGCTCTTCTCGACAAATTTGGGAAAGAACGTCTCTTGCATTTTAAAGGAGTGAGTTGGCTTCTTCTTCTTCTTATTCTTCTTCTTCTTCTTCAGCAAAAAACAAAATCTTTTATAACTATTTGATTGTGTGTTGTGTTGTTCATGAGTTGTCTCTACGATTAGATTAATTTGGTAAGGCAAAAAGTTCAATACTTCTGTTAAACATTTGTATTTATTTACCAATTTCTGATCTTTCCTTGTTGGGAGTGGCTTTAACTGATATAGTCTAACATGAAAATTTCAACATTTGTGTTTCATCTCGATTTAGTCTACGATAGCCTTTGTTATTGACCTGTTATTTTCTGTTGTTATTGGTCTTGAATTGTATTTATGAGCAAGATAGAAGAGAGTTTTATACATTGGTTGTTCCTTGCAGCGCCTTATGCTTTACCAGTGGTTAGAAGATAGCCTAACTTCTGGAGAGAAGGCTAATGAAGACTTGTATGTTCTCAATATTGACTCAGAAGAAGTTGATGAGCCGAACAAGTCTTTGCCTGCACTAAGTGCTGGTGAGGATCAACCGTCAACTCCAAAACGAACTAAATATTCCCCTGATGCTGGTGAATTCAAAGGCTTAGAAAGCCAAAGCAATACACAAGGATCACCGGATTCTCCAACAAGCTGCAGCGTTCCCTCTACTAGTGCCAGTCCTGGAGAAGGAATTGCAGAGGCTCCCACTAGTCCACAATCAGAGGTAAGCCTGAGTGACTCCTTTGCTGATGCATCTTTTTGGTTCGTAGAAGTTAACTACACAAGAAGCTGTTTGCTATATCTGCATTTTCAGAAAGAAAGAATGTTGTTGATATTGGAAGTTCTCATTGATCTTCTTTTGATTTATAGTCCACATCGGTGTACAAACCACCCGATTTGAACAGAAATATCACTGAGATATTTGGAAAGCTAATTAACATATATAGAGGTACGATCTCTGGTGTTTGTATTCTATACTACTCTCTTATAGTAAGTAAGTAACAAAACTCTTTCTTTTCTTTCAAAAGCTTTGGGTGAAGATAGACGGTCCTTTAGCTATTACAAAGCTATCCCCGTCATTGAAAAGTTCCCCACTAGGATTGAAAGCGTTGATCAGCTCAAACACCTCCCTGGAATTGGGAAGGCAATGAGAGATCATGTAAGTTGAGAAATGCTTCAAATGTTTTGTGTAGGTTTGTGTTTGTGGGTGTCAAAACTGCAAACACTTACCCTTTTCTAGTACCTACCTATAACATTTTATGATGTACTTCTGTGCGAACAATGTTTTATTCTTCTACCTGAGTTTGGCAGATTCAAGAGATTGTGACAACAGGGAAGTTGTCCAAGCTTGAACATTTTGAAACAGATGAGAAGGTATATTTTGAAGTCCTTGGTTATAGTTATTTTGCTATCTCCCATTTTCAATTAAATACAAGCTCACATGTAGAGGCCATTTGCTTTTCTCTTGTTCCTTTTTTCTCTTAAGAAAAATACTGTCAATGACATGGAGCTAGAGATGTCTGATATCTTTTGTTTACCACTTTAAATGTTTCATTACTATGATTGAAGGTTCGTACAATCAGTTTGTTCGGGGAAGTTTGGGGTATCGGTCCTGCGACTGCACTCAAGCTATATGAGAAAGGACATCGCACACTAGAAGACTTGAAGAACGAGGATTCACTAACACATGCACAAAGGTTGGGGTTGAAATATTTTGATGATATCAGAACAAGAATTCCACGTCACGAGGTATGGTTCTTAGACTTCAACGTGAATTTTGTTTGCCTTTATTATCCTTCATGTAGTTTTCTCCTCATATTTCTTCACTTTCTGTATTGTAGGTGCAAGAGATGGAACAACTTCTACAGAGAGTCGGCGAGGAAACTTTGCCTGGTGTATGAACTATTCAGTTTATCGGTTTGCTCCATATTTGGGTGATGAAAGTTTAATGAAATCGTAACCAACATCTTTACTGCAGGTGAATATTGTATGTGGAGGATCATATAGACGTGGGAAAGCTACTTGTGGAGATCTAGATATAGTTATCACACATCCTGATGGACAAAGGTACCTACAATCTCCGTCCCTCATCTTCCTGCGTTAGTTTCCAGTAGCAAAGTTTACTTAAACTGTCTTTTCTTTTTGTCCTGACCAGTCACAAGGGATTTTTGACAAAGTTTGTAAAGCGTTTAAAAGAAATGAACTTTTTAAGAGAAGATCTCATCTTCAGCACCCACAGTGAAGAGGTAAAATGATCTTATAAAATTGTTTAAGAGAGGATCTCATCTTCATCAAAACCACATTACTTCAATTGTTTCAATACCTTATAAAATGCTCTCTTTTACCATTAGATAAAGCTTCGTTCTCTCAGAGTTGCATGTATAACAAAAATGTCATACAGTTCTCCTCAATGATTACCCTTATTGTGCAGGGTACTGATTCAGGCGTTGACACTTATTTTGGCCTGTGCACTTATCCTGGTCAGGAGCTACGGCGCCGTATCGATTTTAAGGTAACACCTGAAACCCCTCATGTCACACAGTGCAAAAAAGCACTAAGTTGGGTTAATCAAAGATAAAAAGGACATCACCATGATTGGTTCAGCTATGTCTAAGTTGATCTCTTCCCAGCAAACCATTCAATAACTAGTATTTTTCATAGGTCTATCCAAGGGATATCTATGCATTTGGACTCATAGCCTGGACAGGGAACGACGTGTTGAACAGAAGGTATGTATATGATATAATCTATATACATGTCACCAAATACATTGTTGGCTAAGAAAGAACACATATAATAATTTGCGATGAAAACTGCAGGCTGAGATTGCTAGCAGAATCCAAAGGGTATCGACTTGACGACACTGGACTATTCCCAGCTACGCAAAGTTCTAGTGGTAACCGGGTAAGTAAGGGAGAAAAGTGAATTAACTTGATGTGAATTTTTGGTTGTAAAGTGAAAGAATGATTATGTTAAAGCTGTGATACTGTTTGTTTCTCAGGGTGCTAGAGGAACTGCAAGTCTGAAACTCTCAACGGAGAAACAAGTTTTCGATTTCTTAGGATTTCCTTGGCTCGAGCCACACGAGAGGAATCTCTAAGGCATCACCAAAGGAGAAAGGAACAAATCTTTTTTTGTTTGCTCGTTTTGAATAGGTTCTGTAACTAATCGGTAATTTTTGTAGTTGCATCTCTCCCTAGACAACTGAATTAGATGTTATGATGTACTGCAATGTACTGTATTAGAAACCATTACACATCCACTCACAAAGCCTATGGCATCTCAGATTTTAATAATTTTTAAAAAATATAATAATAATTAAGCACACGTGTCATAAGATAGTTGGTTAAGTGTGGAAATAAGAGTGTCAAAAGTCCCACATCGAAAAGCCAGCGGAAAAACAACTTGTTTATATATGGACACAGAAGACAGATGGTCACGACCTTACTTGAACAGGATCTGTTCTATAGGCTCGTACCTCTGTTTCCTTGATTTCTAAGGAGACAGGCCCTTAACCCTGGTTGATGATCAATGACCGTGTGATCAGAGCGTGATTAACGGCTACGATCGTCTTCGGACGCATCCGGTGCTGTAGAGGATCGTTACTCGGCTCGGTCTTCCTTGCCGGGGTGGTCGCACGGCGGTCTGACAGGTTTCATTTTTTACCACCCTCAAATCTGTTAACTTCTTATATTTACATTTTTCACCCTCAAATCTGTTAACTTCTTATATTTTAGCCCCTGAATTGAAACCCTCAGTTGCAGAGAAAAAGATAAGGTTGAAGAGTGAAAGCAAACCGTAGTAATGGCTTCTTCTTTTATGCACGAAGCTCTTTTCTCTTCTCGGCTTCTTCAAGTCAATTCATCTTCTTCTTCGTCCTCCCGTTGCGCTCTTCCAATTATCTCTTCACCAGCTGCAGTATCTTGCGCAATCAAATCGACCCAGTTTTTTAAACAGCGTTGTAGAACCAAATTGAGAGACTTTTCTCTTTCTTCACTGTCCCGGAGAGGGTTTGTTTGCAGAGCTGCTGAGTACAAGTTTCCGGATCCCATACCTGAATTCGCCGAAGCTGTGAGCTCATTTCCTCTTCTTTTTCCTCAATTTTGATGGATGATTGAAACCTAATTGATGGTTGATAACCAGGAGACTGAGAAATTTAGGGACCATATGTCAAAGAAACTATCCAAGAGGGATCTTTTTGAAGACTCTGTTGATGAAATTGTCGGAGTCTGCACTGAGGTAATCTTAAATCTTCTCACTTTCACACATGTTTATCTGTACGTGTCTCTGTGAGATGTCATGAATTGTGGTGTTTTAGTAGTGGTGAATTGTTTAGTCTCAGCTTCTGATTTTTTCTTGGCATGTGACTTGCAACTGCACATAGAGTAAAGAGGTTAGAAATGCTTCAAATCTTGTTTTTTGTTTTCTGAACTAGAATCCTGATTCATCTCATCTCAAGTTGTTTAGATCATTTCAAATCAATTTGTACTGTCAAATGAATATGCCTGTTTAGAAAATGTCCTTTGTAATGTCGATGCCTCGTTTGTAGGGTTGTGCAGCATTTTCCTGAAAATTGGGGAATGATTTAGTGATCTTATACTAGTTGAGTTATAGATCGAGAATGGAGAGGGTCATATGACTCGGTTTAGAATTTCTGGATGAGCGGTTTTGAGTTTAAACGCATGTAGAAAGTTCAACCAAAAGTTAGTATGGTTTGAAAATGAGAGGGGAGGTTTTCATTAACTCGAATCCAAGATGTTGTGGTCTTAATAATGATCCGAAAAAAGAGCCTTGGTGAGGGATATAAATCTAAATCTGGTTTACGAAAAATCGCTTGGAAGTTTTGGTTGCGTGATACCTTAAACCATTCTCTAAGTAATGTTATATTTCTTGGCATGAGACTCGGGAGTTAAACAGTTTTTGCTTTGGACCATTGTGATTCTTGACAGATCTTCGGGACGTTCTTGCGCAGTGAGTATGGAGGACCTGGTACACTCTTGGTCATACCCTTCATTGACATGGCAGACACTCTCAATGAAAGGGAATTGCCTGGAGGTCCACAGGCCGCACGAGCAGCTATTAAATGGGCTCAGGATCATGTAGACAAGGACTGGAAGGAATGGACTGGCACTGATTAGTCCTTGAAGCATAAATTATAATCCGTGAGTTATTTAGTTCAGTAGTGGTGTAGCAGATGATATAAGTGTCATTGTAAAACTCTGAATTTTGCAGATTTTGGTATTTTAGAAGCTCTGTTCTTATAATCCTTTGTCACATCAACTGTTTTACTCGGTGATTAGTGTATGGTCGAATAGAATCTTCCAATGTATCGTATAAGAACCGGAAGTAGTACGTCATATCTGTTAGGTTTGGTTGATTCAAGATTACTATGTTGTGAAGCACTCAATATTTAATCCGTAACCTTTTGGTGTAAATTTGTCCAAACGGCTGAAAACAAGAAAAAGAAGGATAATAAAAGCTCTTTATTGTTCATATTCAGAAGCTCTGTTTCCTCTGAATCAATCTCACATCAACAAAAAACCACACTTCTTACAAACTTCCATCGATTTCTCCATCTGCGAAAATATATACATCGACGATAGAGAGAAAAAAAGGAAGTAGAAGCTCTGTTCTGCTGACTCTCTTGAGCTTTCTCTGTACTTATCTCTTCACATCTTGATCTACACTTCATCCGTTCATCCTCTGTAATAACCAGGCAAAAAAAAAAGGAACAAAACCAAAGTTTATTCAGTACAGTTTCAGATCAGGTTCTCAACTCTAGATCCAGATACTGTTTCTCGTCCCTCGAACAAAAACCAAAACATTCAGCTCGTAGCTTCGGAGATGCTCTGAAGAGACGGCCTCCATGTTTTAGACTTTAAAAGGGAAGTTGAATTCGTTATCACACGAAATTGCTTCCCTTGTTTCTTCTCCTATCAAATAAAACACAAACCCCATTAACTTTGTTTGTCTAAATCTCCATTAATTAGACGAAAGAGGTGACAGTTATCTGCGTTACAATTCAAAAACAGAGTAAGATAGATCTTTTAGCAAAATCCCATGTCTTTAAATCGTACCGGAACTTTCTTCTCCGACAACTTCTTCACCGTGGTCGTCGTCTCAATCTGATGCTTTTTCGTCTTGGCGCTCTTCTTTTCCCGTAAAACCTTCATCACTTCTGCTAACATTTCAATAACCATATATATTAGTCATAAACTCCAATCACACAGACGCAGAGAAAACAAAAGAAAGAAGCAAAAGGCGAAACCTTGTGAAGTAATGAGCCGGTAAGCGTGACCCAGCACGAGATTCTCCGTTGGCCGGAGAAGCTGAACACGTGTAAATCTCACAGCCTTCCTCTGTTTCTTATCATCTCCCTTCACCGTCGCCGGAATATTCCTCTCTTCCTCCTCCGTTAAGGGAATGATGAGAGAGACGTAGTGACCAGGATACATAGCCATGACCTCGCTGACGGATACAGAGCCATAGTACCGGTCGATTTTCCCGCCGGGATGTTGTAGAACCAGAACCGCCGCGTTCACCGCCTGACAATTCCCCATATTCAGAGGGAGAAAAAAAAGACTAGTTTTTTGATGATGATTAAGGAAAAAAAGAAAGAAGAGTAAAGGAAAACAGAGTAGAAAGGAGAGACTCTGTGAAAAAGGAGAAAGAGGAAGAGAGGAAAAAGTTTTCCGGCGAGGGTAGGTCCACTCACTCTCCTACTCTCACTTTAGCTTTACTTATAAACAAGTGAAATCCCAATTTTATATATTGTGATTTTATTTGTTACGAGAAGAGTTATTTATGAGTATTATTATTATGGTTAATCTAGATTTGACTGTGAGTGCCATTGGGAATTGAATAGGAATAACATGGTCAGAATTTAAAGGTCAGTTAGATTGGACAGGTGGTGACGCCTAGACAATTGAAGGAATGATTAAGATGTCTAGTTGTCTACTATTATGGTTTGTGATTGTTTGAAAGAGTAAAACCTCATATTGAATTAAAAAGTTAAATTATATTGAAATCATTAGTTTTTTTTGGTATAATACTCTAGAGTAAGGAAAAACAAGAGATTGTTTTTGTCAACGGGCAAAACAGAACGTTATACTTGAAACGTAATGAAGACTTTTGTTTTCTCTTTTGCAAGATCCGATGCATTTCCACTAAGGATTCATTGTTTTATATCATCTCCCTAAATTGATGTATAATCCACTTCATTCATTAGAGCATGATTAAAGGCAAGCTCTTATAGAAATCTTAAGATTTTCTTAACATTTAATGCAATATAATTTAATCAACTTTGTGCTTTAATGTTAAGAAACGTTCCTTAGCTAAGAGCCCTGTTCTAAAAATCTCCGCCTATCCCGATTACTCCCCGCTTAATCGCTAGACCCACCCTATCCGCTTCGATTAATGACTAATCCCCTAAAGAAATCAGTTACCCGATTACTCTCCGTCTAATCCGATTACTTCTCGCCTAATCCGATTACTCCCTGCCTAATTTTACATATCCCGATTATTTTTAGATTTCAAGTATAAAACATTTATGCTTTATGTTATTTATGTTATAAATTGTATCTCATGTATGTTTTAATTTTTTTAGTTTGCAACTATTATTAAATTTTCTATAATTATAAATTTTATTTTTATGTTAATTTTTTTCTTTCTAAGAACCACATGTTAAGAGCCTACCATTAATCACACAAAAATCTTAACTCAAAAATACTATCTCTTAACAATCACTTTTACACATATATTACTTAAATATTGCTAAGAGATATTTCTAAGATACTACCAATAATCATGCTCTTAATAGAAAAGAGAAAACATAGATCTGTTTTTTTTTTTTTTTTTTTTTTTTTCTTATATTGTCGCATATTTCTCTTAAGTGAAGTTCAAGAAATTAGTGTAATTAGTTTTGCTGGTTGTTTTTATCTTCCTAAGAGGTTACATAACTTACATAATTACATTCCATGAATCAAGATTCGTACTTTGTTTTAAAGGATTTTGGTCTAGAAACAAAATAATAGACAGAAACTTCAAATCTTTCTTTGGTTTTACTTGCAGCGAGTAGTTTCACTTTTCAGGTTGATGTAAATAACGGACGATTTCATTATTTCGTAGATATTTTAGTCATTATGTTAAAATTTCGTGTTTAATTACTTGTGCAATGTGCATAGCCTATTTTAATTATAATGCTGTGTTAATTCTATAGAGACCGCAACACGTTACGTTATGCGGCAACCAACACGTAACAAATCAAGATTTAAGATTGTGAGTTATATGTCCTTTCGCTTTCTGTTAGGGCCAATATCGATCGTAAGTTTTTTGATAATGGTAAACAATTAACATCGTAAGTTTAAATAATACCTTTTCGTTAAACACAAACGAACCTAGTAAACCATTATTAGTTAATCAATGAATATATCTAACAATTTTCGGATCCCAATTATTAGTTAGTACTGAACTTTAATCAAATGTATGAACATGAATCTTATAAAAAGCGTGTATGTGTGTGTCAGTGTGTGTCAGTGTGTGTGTATACTTTCGTCAAAATTAAAATTAGTCTCGTTGTAAAAGTAAAAGCACATCATTATCGAAATTTATAATTTTAAACAACATAGATGATCATTTTAAAATTTGAAGCATAGGCAAAACGATGCTCACTAAAGTAACCTTCGACTGCTTGTCCACTGGCTATGATGTTTCTTGCTTCAAAAAAAACTTTGATGCAAAATTTCACGACGGAAGATTTCACTGAAAAATTATATTATTAATATATAATTTTTTTGTTACTTAATGTTACTGGATCTCAAAGCAATTAGAGAACAGAACTAGGCCCAAATCCAAAAAAAGCCCAATAGTTGATTAAAATGGAAGTCGCATACTCGCATGTCCCACATCGACTTGGGAAGAAAAGGACACCTGAGACTTATTTTTATGAATACGAGCTCCTTGCTCTTAAGAAGTAATACCACAATCCCACATCAACTTTGGAAGAAGAGTAGCATGGAAACCCTTGACCGAATTTACAAGATTACAAGCACCCAGGTTCCTTCGGCAATATGTGTTTCGTGTGTGGCAAGAAACTAGATGAAACTGGTGTTTCGCTCCGATATATACACAAAGGTTAAAGGCTGAATCGAGACGAAATTAATCGGATGTGTAAATCCCCTATGAGAATCATGGAAAGCCACAAAAAGCTATACCTAGTTCTCGATTTATACCACACGTATGAAGACTATTTGAAAACCCTAACCCTAGTCCCTAGACATAGACAATCTTTTTTTTTTTTTTTTTTTTTTTTTTTTTTTTTTGACATAGACAATCTTCTTCTCTTCTCGGTCAAATCTATGGGATTGATGACTAAACCGAGACCTTTTGTTCGAACGTTTTTAAAAGAAGCAAACGATGTGTTTGAGATGTATATAATATACACAAAGGGTGATAGACGTTATGCTAGAGAGATGGCTAAAGTTGTTAGATCCTAAAGGAAAGTATTTCAGCGATCGGATTATTTCTCGTGATGATGGTACGGTGAGACATAAGAAGAGTCTTGATGTTGTGATGGAAACGAAGAAGCTGTTCTTTTTGTCGATGAATCGAAGATTGTTTGGCCAAAGAATCATGGAGCAAAGAAGTATATTACTTCTTTGCTTCAAGCTTCAAACAGTTTAAGGAAGATTCCAAGTTTGCAACCGGAAGAGAGTGAATCCGATGGAGCACTTAGTACTGTTCTTAATGTTTTGAAGCGAACTCTTGGCATATTATTTGAGGACACAAGTAGAGATGTGAGATCAGTACTTAAACAGTGCGGGAAACAGGATACTGAGTTGATAAAACTCTGTTTCTTGAAGTATATATATTGTCATTTCATCAGTGAGAAGGAAAGTACTTGCTGAGATTGAGAGGCAAAGAGTAGAACTCTTCGCTTCTGTTATCAGATTTGAACGATTTAAATCGCTTCCACCATACTAGTCCTCGATCTTTCTTTGTCGCCTTGTCCTTTGGAGGCAATGTCATGTCTAGAAAGAAGGCCAAAATCCCGGAAACAAATGCTTTAGATGAGAAAGGAACGTTTATTATGTTGTTGAACTGCAAAAAAAAAAAGAACAATTTGAGCATTAGTTTATCCTGATGATTTCGATGCTGAAATAATGCGGTTTTAGTGTTTTACCGATGTTGCGGATGTCCGAACGGGTCCATAATTTTCAAAAGTTGTGTACTGGTAGAAGTATTGAGGTATTGATAAGCCCATGAAGATGGAGAATCCAAGAATGAACTTAGTTCTGAAACTGTTCAGATTGCAGAACTGGATAAGACTTAGACCACCAGCACCTGCAAATTATTTCAGTTTTGAGCAAAGAGATGTGTTCATTGCGGCTTCAAAAACAAAAACAGAACAACTCTGTTTCAGTAGTTTCAAGAGTTATACCAACGTATGAGAAGAACAAACAGTAAAGAGCTGCGACGATAGGAGCTGGAATCGAAGCAAAGATAGCCCCAAATTTACCTGAAAATGATTGCTAATCAATTGTCTTTATGTATGTAAAAGCTTCAGAGTTGTATGTTCAGTGGTAGCTAAGAGAAATACCAAGAATGGAGAAGAAGATCATGAATCCGGCTGATACTTGAATTACTCTTCTACTACCAACGCGTGTTACAGCCAACAAACCGGCATTCTCCCTACAAAGGATCATCAAGAAACGGTTTCAACATCTGACAAAGATTGTTGTTTTTGAATAAGAAAAACTTTTCTGCTTTTGTTTTGTAGTTTAGAGATGAAACTGTATTTACACAGACACGGATGTCGCATTTCCTGCTCCAAACAGTCCACAGAGAAGTATACCAAATCCCTTTTAAAACAGAGAACCTCATTACCATTGAGAAAGTTTGGATGATGCAATGTCTTTTTGGTGCGTGTGTTTTTACCTGCCAACCGATTCCACGACCAAGCACAGAAGGTGGGATTGGTGTTGCACTTGCATATCTCGATACAGCAATGTATGTCCCTGTAGACTGTTCCATTGATCACACAAGAAGAATCAAACACATGCACATCTGTCTCAGGTTGTAGTAAAAAAGCCGAGGATAGATTTAGACCTCAACGAGAGAAACGAAAGAAGCAGCCATCATAGCAAAAATTTCCCCTGCATTAAAAGTTGGAGGTCCTCCCCACTGAAGAGGGTAAGGCACTCTAATCCTGCATCAACAACCTTAGCATTTAAAAACCGGTCTAGGTAACTAAAGGATACAAGTTTATGATCAATATACCATGGAGCGGCGCTAATGATACCAGCGCGATCAGTTCTGCAACTGATTTGAGTATTGATTCCTGTGTCACTATAGGCCCCACCAATGGTGAGAATGTATGCATAAAGCCATACAATCACCACTGAGAATATCACAGCAAACCGGTGGAAGAAGTTAGAATATGTTTCTCCTTGCATCAGATGAGGAATGTACTGCACACAACAACAAAATGGTTTGGTAACAACACAGAAATGTGTGTGTGTTTTTTTCAGGTTATGGCAAGAGCATTAACCTGTGAGAATATGACAAGAATTATGACCTCAGCCAGTCCAATCTCAATGCATTTTGCTAGCTGTAATGTGCAGAACAAAAAACTCAGG